TTTGGGATCATATACAATTTCACCTATTCTATGGTTGGTCCTGAGGGGATTGAATTCTCCGTGCGCCAGGTAGGCGTCACCGGGGGATTCTAGGTCTTCTATTTCCAGTTGGGCAATGTTGTCCAACATCTTCTGATTTATGTCCTCGGTACGTAGGTGCCAGGCTTCTATGTCAGCCATCTCCCATAGCGTCTCTGTGGATATTCTTTTCGGTAGTTGGGCAGCACTCTTGAGTGCCATTCTGTATTGTCTTTCGATTTTACTCAGGTTCGTCGCGCTGTACCTCGATAGCAGTTGGACCACTCCGTAGTCCAGCAGTGGCAGAATGGTATTATGGCCAGTTTGGTTTCTAGATCTGTTTTTGCGTAGTATCCAATTATCGGGCCAAGGGCTCCTCTGACCCGTTTCAGTTTCTTCACTACCTTTTCGGTGTGTTGATTCATTCTCATGCGTTTATCGAAGACCACGCCGAGGTATTTGATCTGGTTTTAGTATGGTAGCATCTGTTGTTTTAATTTTACCGCCGGGCGGTATTTACTTTTCTTTGAGAACATAATGCACTCGGTTTTCTCTATGTTGCATTTGAGCCCCTATCTCGTATAGTAGTTAATAATAGTTTCTGCTGCCCATTCCGATCGCATGGTTGCAGGGTCTGGGTTTGTGGCTCTGTTGAGAATGCAGAGGTCATCCGCGTACTGTGAGAGTTTGAGCCCCTTAATTCTGTCATGTATGTCCCAGATGTCATGGACATACAGGTTGAAAATCACCGGTCCCAGGATCGATCCTTGAGGCACGCCATGGAGTATAGGTTTCTCCTCTGTTTCAGTTGTTCTAAACCTGCCTTTCAGTTGTCTGCCTGCAAGGTAGTTTTCTATAATTTTTGTGGTGTTAGTGGGTACGTCTTTGTCTTGTAGCTTTTTGATCAAGCCTTTGTGGTTAATCGAGTCAAAGGCTTTCGAGAGATCTGTTGATATCAAGGAGACGCTGTCGCCGTTGGCCAAGGCATCTGTGATTATTTTACCGGTGCGAAGGATCTGGGTCACTGTGCCTCTGGCCCTTGTGAAGCCGTGTTGGAACGGTGGTTGCAGCCGGTCTACCGTGGCGGTGAGTCGTCTCAGGAGCAGGCGCGCGCACAGTTTGCCCATTATGTTGAGCAGTGTAATCGGGCGGTACGATAATGCTTGGCGATGATCTTTGCCAGCTTTGTGCAGGAAGATGCACACGCCTGTTTTCCATCTCTTAGGGAAGTAGCCTGTGGACAATATAAAGTTAGCGAGAGGCACAAATGCCTCGGTGAAGACTTCTCCCCCCGAGTTTGAGGGCGTCTGCCTTGATTCCATCTGGCCCGGGAGCCTTTTTGTTTTTGAACCTGCTCAGTGCTAATTTGACTTCGTGTTTTGATGTTGGGTCGAGTGGCTGGAACGGGGTCGTTTTCTCTGTGCCCTCGTCTTCCGTCGCAATTACTGCCTCTTTTTATGCTGCCTCAGTCAGTGAGTCGATCGTCTCTTTTTCCGTTTTGCAGCCTGTTATGTTTGGTAGTCTCATGATTGGTTTCTTCATGTTGCGTTGGATGCGCCACATTTGCGACCTATTGTCATTCGGATCCTGGATCTTATCCAGCCAGCCCTTCTCGGTATATTCTCTCAGTGCTTGGTCTGCTTCTTTTTTGGCTTTGTTGTAGAGGGCACGTGCCTCTCGTTGTAGGTTGAGGCTGCCGTGCCTTGCCTGCCATTTAATTTGTTTCAGCTTGTTTCTGAAGTCTATCTTTTCATTAATTTCCGGTGGTAGATGTTCTCGTCTCGTTGTTGTTCTGAAAGGTGCGTGTTCATCGAGAGCTGCTGTAATGGATTTCTCCATGGTTTGGACGTATCTTTCGCAGTCTTCCTCCGTGATTATTTCCCCGTGTAGGTAGCGGAAGCCTTCCCACATGGTTTGTTGGTATGCTTCCATCGCCCCCCTCGTCCTCGCGTATCCTCCTTGTGTTGCGAGATTTGTTTACCTCTATGTGTTGTGTTCGATTTTTGCAGTGAGTAGCCATGGTAGATGGTCTGATCCGACGCTTTCTAACTGCTTGGCTTGTGCCTCGATCTGTTGGTGTGTTATTACGGCTATGTCCAGGATTGCGTTGCCTTGGTTGGCCGGCCTCGACGGCGCGCCGGCGTTTTTTAGCGAGCAGATTCCGTCGTTTATTGCTTTCCTGATTACAATGCCTAGGCCTGCGTCTCTTCTTTGGTTCAGGGCGCGCATCTGTAGATTCAGATCTCCTATTATGATCGTTGGTTCGTCAGCCAAGGTTTCTTCAAGCTCTTCTCTGGCTTGGTGTTGATTTGGGATTTGAAAGTAGGTCCCTTTTATTTTTATGTATTGTCCGGTCGCGTGGTCTGCGAACAGTTTGATGCCCACGCCTTCAATTTTTCTTCTCTCCTCTCCCCAACCCGGTGTGACGTCTGTTTCGGTTCATCTTAGCCCCCTTTGTATGTACATGGCCGTGGTTAAGTGGGTTTTAAGCGAGTGTGTGATTTTATCGTATCCTTTCATGTTAAACTTCTCCTTGTCGAAGTCGATTTTGCATTCGTTTATCACTATTATGGCTGGCCTGTATTTATCTGCCAGCTTTTTTTACTTCAATGAATTTATTTCTCAGTCCTTGTGCATTTAGGTGTAGGATTTTGAGGTTCTGTATTCTTTTTTGGTCGTGATTAGCCATTGGTCTGTCGTTGTGTGTTATTCATGGTGTCTATGAGCTTCATTAGTAGTTTTTCCGTTCGCTTCAGTCTTAGGTGGAGGCTTTCTATGGTTGTTTCGTTCATCGGTGGTAACATTGCCTGCTCCCCCTGTGATAGTGTGGCTCCTTCTGTGGCAAGGCGGGGAATTGTCTTTTGCTTGAGACGTCCGCATATCTGACTCCAGGTCTGACTGTTGCACGTCTGATTCTCTCTTCTTGTTTAGTCTGTTTGGCTTTCGCTTCTTCCATTTGTTTGGATATCATTTTTTGAAATATCGGACAGGTAGCGTTGTTCGCGCTGTGTCCTTCTTTCTTAAAGTTTTTGCAGACCATCGTCGTAGTGCCCTCGGGTGTATTGATTTTGATCTGTGATTCTTCTTGTCTGCCGTAGCAAGACTGTTTCGAGTGGTCAAATGCATAGCATTTCTTGCATTGCACTGTGTGTCTCGGGTTTTCTCTGAATGGCTCTACCTTTATGCAAGGGGCGCAGAAGAACTTTCTGTCAGCGGTTTTGCATGCTTCCAGGACGCTTTTTTGTTTATATTTATTTTCAAAAATCAAGAGGTGTATTTTACCTGCTTTTCCTAGCGGTTTTATTGATATCGGTTTAATGCCAATGCATTCCGCTATCTCTTCTGCGATTATGTCAGTGTCCTCACCGTATGTTTCATTTTTCAGCACCACTTTTGTCGCCGGTTGTCTGTCAGCTTTCGGTTTTGGTGCTATTATTCTTGATGTGCGCACACTTGGATTTTCGTGAGAATGTCTTCCCGGGCTGCTGAGCTGTTGTTTTATTGTTTCTTAGTTGTTATTTGTTGATGTCGCCTCTCTTATAAATCTGAGGGCGCGTTGGTCTTTCATTATTTTTTCATCCCTAATTATTATATCAGGGATATGTGTGTTTTTCTGTGTGGGCGTCACGAACTTATCTGTTCCGGTGCGTTGTCTTTTTATTCCTCTATTTTCGTTTTGTAGCGTTTCAAATCTGTTTGCTAACGGTATATTATAGATTGTTTCCGAGTTGGCCTCGGCTTGCCTGTCCGCGCGCTGCGTGTTACATGTGGCGGTCAAACTTTGGGTTGTTTCGGTCGCGCAGGTACGCGCCGTGGTCGTGTGGCTTTAGGCGATGGTGTCGTTTCTTTTGTTCACTAGCGTAGACGCTCGCAGGCTGTGTCGTTCCCCTGAGGTGAGGCGGGGGGCGGTCCGGGCGGCGAGCGGCTTGCATGTGCCGTTCGTCGGCTCTAACCTAGTTCGTTGCACGTGCACTGGCTCTTGCAAGCCAACGCCCTGGTATGTATTTAGCGCGCAAAGTTTGACGGTATTATTTGTCGTTCTGACCTTACGATTTCTTTTTTTCTTGCCTCTTTGGGTGGTTAGAGACGGGCTTGAATCCTCTGCCGTGGTTTTTATAAGTGCGCATTGATTTTTGCCGCACTTACAGATGAACCATTCCTCCGATGTCAATGCGTCTATCGGTAGGGTGATCAATTCTCTCTTTGTTTTACAGTCCACGCACGCACGAAAGTTGCTTACTCCGGTTTTTAGCGAGGCTGTGTATATTGTTATGGTAGTTTCGATTTTTAGTATTTCTTTTTTCGAATTTGGGCACTATAGTAGTGGCCGCCTTTATGAGAAAGCTTTCCATGCATACCTTACATTGGATTTTCCTCGTGTTCATTTGATTGGTACCCCACAGGGGGGCGTCCGTTTGGAAGAATTGTCCGCATTCCCAGCACTGTATTATATTTTTATTGAACTCATTGCGGTCCATTTTCACTTTTTTCACTTTGTCTTTCACTTGTTTACTGTCCTTGTCTAGACTAAGTAGATCCGTATCCAAATCATTAGATTTGTGTGAACTTTCACTGTTTTTTTTCGAGAGCATGTTTCCTATTACTCTTGATTCACAAATTCTGTTGGGTGTTGCCTGTCTCACTTCTTCTGGTGAATCCCAGGGGGTGCTCCCCCCGGAGTCCTCACAGTTCATGATTTTTCACTTTCTATTCACTTCAAGTCTCGTTCCAATGTGGATTATTTTAAGAACCGCACAAAATTTCAAGATACCACACGCAGTGCGTGGGTCGTGCGCGGATCGGCTCTCGGGAGCTTTCCGCTGCGCGCGTCTGTTCGCTACGGCGGTCCGCGCGAGTCTCGACGGAGATAGCTCGTTCTGGGAGCAAAGTCAAACGGGCATTGTTCCTGAAGGCGAGCTCACAATCAAAGAAGCGGAGAGCATCGACATCCGACGAAGACGACGAGGACATCGTACAAATTCTTGTCGGACTGTGAAGACGATTTGAACGTGCAATTATTCGACCAATATTCAACGGCTATTATCGAGCTAGAAAAACGAAGACGGGAACTCGAGGAAGTGGAGGAATCGGGATCTTTATTATTGCCGAACACAAAGACCACCTCCAAGTCTTACACGATTGCTCCTATAGTGGCTCGACGTGTCGATGACTCCATGTCCAAAGACTCGGAGACTACACCATCGAAGCGTACGACGACGGAGATAGCTCGTTCTGGGAGCAAAGTCAAACGAGCATTGTTCCTGAAGGCGAGCTCAAAATCAAAGAAGCGGAGAGCATCGACATCCGACGAAGACGACGAGGACATCGTACAAATTCTTGGAATAAGATAAAATATAAAGATGTACAGAAACGCCTTCATGCCGCTCCAGTTTTCAGTGCTAAGTAAATCCTCAATATCCAATATTGGCCAGAACGGATACTGCCTTAGGCACTATCACTCATGGCATCTTGAAAGAAAGACCACAGGTTGAGGCAGCATTAAATGAGGTCGAGAAAAAGTATCCGGAAGCGGTCTCTGTTTTGAAACAATTTTTTTTTGCTAAATCAGATTCTTTTAAACAGACATCGGATGATTTATTACATTATCCATGTGCACGTAGATCAGAAGTGTTCGAAAATCGTCGAAGAATTTTTAAACCTAGATCGGAATTCTTAGCGACTGAATTGAATGATATCCCACCTTCACGCACCCATTTATTCGACGAGCAAAAATTATCTGAACTAATCAAAAGAGAAGGAGGTTCCTTTCGAGTATTTAATTCAAGGTTCAAGAAGCCATTTCAGGAAAACCAACAACAATACAATAAAGCAAAGTTTCGACATCGGCCCTCGACAAATACATCAAGCACTCAACGGAACTCAAACAAAACTCCAAATAAGTTTACCAAGACTCCATCTAAACAGTCAAAGTCATCTGAAAAGCGAACACAAAATTCTTTTAAAAGAGGAAAATTTAGTGGTCAGCGGGATTGACTCGCACTTTTACGGAGGTCGACTGAAGGATTTTCGACATCAATGGAAAAAACTGAATCCACCTCCTCATATCCTACAGAACTTAGAAGGGTATATTATCCCTTTCGTCATGCGACCTCCAATCATACCGTTTTCAAAGCACAACATAAGAAGATTTTCAGTTAAGAAGTTCCCACCACTGCAACAGGAAATACAAAATATGATAAGATTGGGTGTTATAGAAAAAACAACAGTAACGACCGGGTTCTTATCTTAAATGTTTCTCGTAAGGAAATCCGACAACACCATGCGACCTGTTTTCAACATCAAACAGTTAAACATGTTTTTGAAACCCAAAAAGTTCAGTTTAATAAATCAAAACGACGTCCTGAACTTTCTGCAGGAGCTAGATTAAATATCAAAAATAGACCTTTCAAAGGCATATTGGCATGTACCGATCAAAAGGCAACATCGCCGATTCCTAGCTTTTGTTTACCGAAAACAGATTTATCAATAGGCGTGTCTACCTTTTGGACTGACAAGCGCTCCCTTAGCTTTTGCCATGATCACGAATTGGATAGCAAGTCATTTACAAAAAAAAAGCATTCGGGTAATAGTGTATTTGGACGACTTTCTGATAGCAAGTCAAGACCAAAACGCTCTCAGCTGCCAAATAAAGTATGTGAAAACGGTTCTACTCAACTTAGGTTGGGTAATAAACTTCCAAAAAATCTATTCTTTTTCCCACAAAAAAGTTAGAATTTCTGGGAATTGTCTGGAAAATTATTGGGGACACCGCAATAAATCGAAAGTCTCTTCCCGAAAAGAAAGTGATCAGAATCCTTCAGGATCTCGACCGAGTCATAAATTCCAAATTCTGGAATTGGGAAATAGGTACTTCGCTGATAGGGAGATTGACGTTTGCTGCCTTCGTAACACCATTGGGTCGCCTAAACACAAGGTATCTACAAAGGGCAAGTCGACTTCTTCCCGAAGAAGCGCCTCGACTAAGAATGTTGATACCTCTAAAAGCTTTAGAGGAGTATATTTGGTTGAGAAGGAACGTCGTAAGTGAATTTTATAAAACATCTATGTGGAAAACTATGGGCTATCCTGTAGTCGACATGGACGCTACTACCAAGTCTTGGATGAACAAGGGAACTGTGATGAAACAAGATCTCCAGGAGGCCGCCATCGCCATAGATTGCATGTTCAAGAAAGAATTTTGCCGTCAACTTTTTAAGAGACACAACAAAATGGCCTATGGTCTAGTTTGATCCACAACTCAATCCACATATAGTATCATGTATCCTAGAGAACGAGTGGGGCGAAACTACGTCCCTCAAATGGGACCCGATGGACTTTCAGCATGTCCACTTAAACAAAAATTTCATTTCAAAAAATGAATTATCATGTTGACACAATCGATATAATAGCAGACAAGGCCATAAACCCAGATCGTCGGAATGGATATACGAGTATGACTCTAAGGCGTTTCGGATCAATCACGGAAGGTTCCCTGTAGGACTTCCTCTCTCCACCAAGAGTGTCATTATCCACTTTCTCGTGAGCGAGTCGTTTGATGGGAAAGAAATCATCAACCTAATTGATAAAGGAGTCATCCCGTCAGACTGGAGGATTATGGTCGCAGTCCCGAAAGAGCGTGAGTTCAAGCAGTTCGACGCCAGATGCTTTGGCAAGATGACTTTTGAGATGCGTGCCTACCAAGTCATAACGGAGCTGAATATAGCAGAGACCATCTTCACGTATATAAAACATCAATCCATGACACTCAGCGCGGAACAGCTGACCAAGACGTTGAACAGAATGAGCTGCCCAGGAGGAGACCATGATTATGTGAACATTGTAATAGACTTCTCTTCCTGGTGCACTCACTTCAGGGCTGAGTTGGTTGAGCCTTTATTTAAGTCCCTAGACGCACTGTTTGGGTTCACCAACGTATACAGTTTCAGCCATAAGTTTCCTCTTATATCTAAGTTGATATTCCAGGATAGATATGCTCCCCCGGACCAGGACCAAGATGGAGAGCCTATGGAGGGCCCAAGATGTGTTCACGGGCCAGAGGCGTGGCTCGAAGGCCTTCGCCAGAAAGGTTGGACTTTGGCAACAATCCTAATAATTCTGTTAGCAGCACATCGTTGCGACACAACTGCTTCGTTGTTGGGCCAGGGTGACAACCAAGTCATCGTCCTACGTATCCCATCCAAGCAATATCTACGAGAAAGAAACCTCACACCGGACGAGTACACTCAGCAGTTCTTACGAGTCCTTGAGGAGATATATGACAAGGCTGGTATTGTAATAAAGGTTCCTGAGTCGTGGCGTTCTCGGAGACTACTGGAATACGGTCGTCGGTACTTCTTGGATGGTGTACAAGTGAGCGGGGCTATCAAGAAGGCAACCCGGTTGACCAGCGAAGCAAATCAGACGATCCACACCACCAACGCTACTATAGCAGGGCTCTTTTCCAGTGGGGTTTCTATAGCCGGAGATGATGAGAGCCCAGTTCCGGCTTATATGCTAACCGTATATGAAGCGGCGAGGGTTTTATGGCGATTACATCCAGAGTATCTACAACAATCCGACGAATGGATGATAACTTTACTTCTCATGAACCGGACTATTGGGGGATATCCGGTTGTTCTGTTCCCCCAATTTGCCACAAGAGCGACTCAAGACACATTGAGCCTAGGTCTCAGTGTGAAGAGGCACGCCCTTAGGGACGATCGATTACGGGAATGTGTCTATACCCTCCTCGACATAGGTAAACCCAATCATGTAGACTTGATTCAACTTATAAAGGATCCGGGTAGCATACCATTGAACATCCCACCTCAACCCGAGAATCTTTTTAGGAGGAGGTTGAAAGAAGGGCTACTGGGAATCATAAAAAACAATGAGATGTTGGCCATTTTTGGCACTAAAGCGGATGAGGAATAGGAAAGATTGAAGAGAGACCTACTGTCCATCAAACCTGTCTGCCCCAAGCTGCTATGTAAGTTGTGGCAATTGTCCAATATTGGCCATAGGGAAAAAGTTATCAGCAAGTTTTCCACCTCAAGGTCTATCCAGCAGGTTTCTATGACTGTCTGGACAGATGAGAAGGCACTACTTGAAACAGTGAAGACACTCGAGATCCGAACATGCAGATATTAGATGAAGGCAAAGCACAGCGAGTTTTTCAAGATGCTGGAGCATGCTGAGTGTGTGACGATCCTGGCACAGAAGTTAAGAGAATGGCTTTGGGAGCTCCCTCTTGAAGGTATTACCATGCCCACTCCTTGTGATAAGGTGCTGATTGTACCTTGGGTACATTGTCAGAGGAAGCGGTACCATCATCTATCATGGTCAGATGGTCGGGTGAAGCTCATCATGATTGCTTTCATGAGAGGGGCCCAAAAAGACCGTATATAGGTTCACAAACCCAAACCCGAAGTCGTAAAGCACCTCTGCAGGTCATCGAGGTAGGTCCTCTGATTTAAAGCATAAAAACCATCTTAGAACTGAGAAGCTGGATAAAGGGGAGTGAGGGCATGCACGATCTCCTCCAAGTCATCATTGAGGAGAAGACAAAGATCTCACTAGAGGAACTGGAGCCTTTAACGGCACAAGTTTACTCAGGACTCTTATCCCACAGACTCCCTTGTCCAGCCCTGAGAAGGGGGGACCGTCATGCTCTGGAAAAATTATTTCTTCGATTGTTTAACCCTTAATAAAATAAAGGTAACTGTATTACCACTTTGTATTTTTTTTAATCCTATTAATTATGCAGTTAATATCACCTTAGAAGAGCTAGTTTTGGCAAATTGTATTAATTGGTGAAAGTATGAATGCGTTAGATTGTTGAAAAAATTTAAAAAATTAGTTCGTAGTTCGTAGTAGTAGTTAGTGTAGTTTTTTGTCGAATCTTCTTCAACAAATAATCTGGTAAGTTATTTTGTGATTTTAAAACTTATAGTAAACTATATTCTTGTTATTTTCTTGTTATTTACTGTGCATGAATGTAAATATTTGTGTATTTTTTGGAGTTTCAAAGTAGTGGTAAATAATTTGCCTTTGTCTGTTCACGTTTCGTAAAAATAACAATTATATATGTCGTGGATTGATGGCGCCATAGTGCTACAAGCAGCGCCATCTAACAATTAGCTTTGCGAATCAATAATATCGTTACCGGAAACGCAAGCGCGCCCTACCGCTTGGACACGATCGTCGGTAGAGGGGATGCAGCGAGGGCTAGAGAAGGGACCGAGTGTTGTGGCAGTTGAGTTCGGACAGCCGGAGCGGACGCTCGCTACCGACGCACGCGTTTGTTTCTCGTGTACAACCACTAGTCTAAATAAAGTTATTTTTGATTTAAATCATCTTTCGTTCGTGTGCCCACATTTACATAAAACCATGTCGGAGCGTGAAGAAAACACCTTTGACGCGACATCAGAAGTGGGATACACCCGAGTTGAAGAAAACACGGAGACTGGAGCGATGTCGTCACGGTGCGACGAGAGCATGCTTCGGGAGCTGCTGGCTGCTCAAAACCAGAATATGATGTCCTTGATAGAAGCCATCAAGGGCCCGGCAGGTACCAAGTATATTTCTCTGCCTGAATTTGACCCTGATAAGCCGGATGTAGACGCACGTGCCTGGTGTACTACAGCGGATCTGTGCCTATCGGAGGTACCGCTTCGGGGAAGTGCTCTAATAATTACCCTAAGCAAGGCTCTGAAAGGTAGTGCTTCACGTTGGCTGGCGCAAGTGTCGTTTGCGGGGATGACATGGTGTGACTTCAAAAGCCTGTTTTTATCCCGGTACGATTGTGTGGACACACCAGCCGCTACTCTTGTCAAAATGATGAATGGCAAGCCCAAGGAAGGTGAATGTTATGCCGCGTACGCTGCCCGATTGCTTTCAACGCTCACATCACGCTGGCAAAACATGAGCACTGAGCAGATTGCCATATCTACGGTGCTTGCTCACATGGCACAATTTGACGGGCGTATTCAGAGGCTGGTGTTTACTACCGAAGTCAACAACAGGAACAAGCTGCAGTGTGAACTTCAAGCGCTCTCGTTTTTGAAAAGGAAAGCTTCAACGGTTAACTCAACCGACGCCGTTCCAGAGTTCAAGCGATCCAAGTTTCAGTCGACAACGCTGAAGTGTCACAACTGTGGTAAACTAGGTCATCGAGCATCTGACTGTCGATCAAGAAATGAGGTGAAAAGCAAAACAGCCAATACCACCATCTCGGCGTCAAGTTCTTCAGGACCAAAACAGCGTTTGGACATCATCTGCTTTCGATGCGGCAACGCCGGACATTTTGCAGCAAAATGTCCACGAAGTAATAGTGCGGGCACCAGCGCGGCGGGTGGATCAAGCAGTTCTGGGGTAGCGCCTGCCGCAGCGGCAACCAGTGAGCGACGTGTTGACGTTTGTTATGTCAGCAATCCCAGCGGTGTGCTGATGAATGCTGGTGAGTCATACCCATTTTACTACGATTCTGGTGCCGAATGCTCTCTGATCAATGATTGTGTTGCGTCAAAGTTTAGTGGCAAGCGAGTAAATAATATTGTAAATTTAACCGGAATCGGTCACGTTAGCGTACAAAGTACCCTACAAATTTTATCTGAAGTTATAATTAACGATTTACGGTTAGAGATATTATTTCATGTTGTACCGGATAGTTGTCTTAAAAGTGATATCTTAATTGGCCGCGAGATTTTAGATCAGGGGTTCAACGTTAGTATGACGTCTCATAGCGTTGTTTTGTGTCGTAATAAGGTTGTGAGATTATGTGATGCTTCAAATAAGCCCAAGACGGATACTAATTATCAAATTGATTCAAATAAAGTTGACACAGACGTTCCGCCAGAATTTCGTTCCCAATTAATGGATCTTTTGTCAGAATATTCATCTTCGTTTTCTAATGGTGTACCTAAATCCCGTGTAACGACAGGACAGTTGCAAATCAGGCTTATAGATCCTAGTCGAACGGTTAAACGTCGCCCTTATAGGCTTAGTGCAAACGAACGTGAAGTTGTTACTGCTAAAGTTCGTGAACTAGAGGAAGCAGGTATTATTAGGCCAAGCTGTTCACCCTTTTCTAGTCCAGTGTTGCTTGTCAAGAAGAAAGATGGTTCAGATCGCATGTGTGTCGACTACAGGGAGCTGAACGACAACACTGTATCGGATAGGTTTCCACTGCCGTTGATAGAGGACCTTATATCTAGGTTAGGTGGTGTTACATGGTTCACGTGTCTCGATATGTTGTCAGGCTATCACCAGATTCCAGTGCATCCTGAATCGATAGAGCGCACTGCATTCGTCACACCTGATGGTCAGTGGGAATATTTGACCATGCCGTTCGGTTTGAAAAATGCCAGCTCAGTTTATCAACGTGCAGTGATGAAGGCATTAGGCGATCTTGCTAACAGCTATGCTGTGACATACGTCGACGACATTTTAGTGATAGGATCGTCTGTGGAGGAGAATTTATTTCGTCTTCGCACTGTGCTAGATAAATTAACAAAAGCTGGTTTCTCCCTAAATCTTGCTAAGTGTTCCTTTCTTAAGCGACGGGTAGAATATTTAGGCTTTGTTGTTGAGAACGGCCAAATCAGTCCCAACCCAAATAAAATTGCAGCTTTGTCCAGACTTCCCCCGCCTAAAACCATCACTCAGCTAAGACAGTTCATAGGGCTGGCCACTTATTTCAGACAATTTGTGCCACAATTCTCAAAAACGATGGCTCCTCTATTTCGTCTAACGAGTGGCAAGGACAGGTCCATTGAGTGGGAACCTAGCCATGAGGCTGTTCGTCAGAAAATTATTTCTTATTTAACCAGTAAGCCTATTCTAACGATATTTGATCCTGCACATCCAATAGAGTTACACACCGATGCTAGTGCTGAAGGATATGGTGCTATTTTTATTCAAAAGATTAATGGGATACAACATGTGGTTGCTTATTATAGTCGTCGTACCTCCCCAGCCGAATCAAAGTTTCATTCATTTGAGTTAGAAACGCTAGCTGTGTTCAATGCCATAAAGCATTTTCGACATTATTTGCTAGGTCGTAAGTTTACCGTTGTGACAGACTGCAGTTCTGTTAAAGATTCTAAAAGCAAAACTGACTTGTCTCCACGAGTTCATCGTTGGTGGGCCTACATGCAGTCATTTGAGTTTGATATCGTCCATCGTGAAGGCAGTAGGATGAGCCATGTAGACTTCCTGTCTAGAAATCCCCTCCCTAAGCCCAAAGTGGCTTTCACTCGGGTGGAACAAAAGCGTATCGATTTAGCTGAGCTTTCTAGTAACTGGTTGCAAGCTGAACAGGAAAAGGACGAAGAGATTAGTAAGATCGTTTCTGATCTTCGTAACGAAGTTTTTCCTGAGGAAACTCGCAAAACCTACGAAGTTCGTAAAAACATTCTATATCGCCAAATTCAGCGTAACGGTCGCACTCGATGGCTGCCTATTGTACCTAGATCGCTTAGGTGGTCTGTTATTAATAACGTCCATGAGTCTGTCATGCACTTAGGATGGGAGAAAACTCTCGAAAAGATTTACGAACACTACTGGTTCGAAGGCATGTCGAAATATGTGAGGAAATTTGTGGACAACTGCATCACATGTAAAGTAGCGAAGCCCCACTCGGGTAAAGTTCAAGCAGAACTGCACCCGATTCCCAAGTTCAATATCCTATGGCACACAATCCATATTGACGCTTCTGGTAAATTATCTGGGAAGAATGACATCAAGGAGTACGTGTTTGTCATATTAGATGCGTTTACCAAATTTGTGCTACTTCGTCATTCGCTAAACATCGACACTAATAGTAGTATTCGTGCTATTAATTTCTGTATAGCTCTGTTTGGTGCACCGAAACGCATAATAGCAGATCAGGGTCGTTGTTTCGCAAGCAAAGATTTTTCTAGTTTCTGTACTTC